CGAGATAACTCGTAGTCGGCGTCATAATAAAACCTGCCAAGTTCTCTGGTGTCTCACAGTCAATGAGTTAAAACAAAAATTATTATTCTTTCTATCCCAGAAATATGATGGTATTTTGCATAATTAGCACACCGGTCAATCAATCAATCAACCAATCACATATATATATATATATATATATATATATATATATATATATATATATATATATATATATATATATACCCAAGTATATGATTGGTATATATGGAATGAATTCCAATAACCAACAAATACTATTCTTAAAAGAGTGCTCAATACAAAGTAGAGCATATATAATTATTCTTTAAAAAAAAAAATTATAACATAAATATATAACTTGATCACCTGTCAAGTGATGATATTGATTCAACATCATCACTTGATAAGACACCGAGGGTGTTGTAACAAAATGGCTATTTTTGTAGTGATTTTATAACATATTTATGTTATCATTTTTTAATTTTAAATGAATAATATATATATATATATATATATATATATATATATATATATATATATATATATGCAATATAAAAATTAGGAGATCAGCCGATTACGCTACCTTGGTTTCAACCTTTTCAGTATTTTCAGGTGATTCCGGTCAATTGATTTCCTTGCGTTTTATATATAAAAAATAAAGCTTTTATGAAATCAATTGAGCGAAATATATATATATATATATATATATATATATATATATATATATATATATATATATGCAGGGTGAGGCAAATGTTGCGCACCCTAGGGATTAAAAGAATTGGTCGAAGATATCCTGTTGAGCCACCTACGTCACCAGACCTCACACCTTTAGATTTCTTTTTTCTGTGGAGCCATTTCAAATCAGTAGTTTATCAATTGATAAATTGATAAATTATCAAAATATTGATAAGGAACTTAAATAAAGAATGAAATACGAATGCAGTAAAATGGCAAAGGATACTGATTGAAATGTGTCTTTTAAAAAGAAGGAGGACATTTTGAAAAGAGCATTAAATAACTAGTAAATAAATAATGTTTGATTATCGCTATGGCGCGCGATATGGACCTCACCCTATATATATATATATATATATATATATATATATATATATATATATATATATATATATATATATATATATGTCTCTCTGTGTGTGTGTGTGTATTTTCGTATGCATATATCTATTTATCTACCACATGAACTAGAATTCTGATTATTAATCTTTCTTTAATATCTCTGTTTTAATCTCTATCCATTTGTACTTTTCCAATGGTATCTACAAAACCTATTCGTAAACACATAAAGTCGTTTCACAAACACAATAGACTCGGGCTCAATTAGTTAAAAAAAAAACTGTAACACACTAAAGCAAACGGAAAGAAATAAAAACATTCGTTCATTTCGAGGTACACACCCATAAATTATAGTATACACAAAAAATAATATAAAAATAAAACTCACTTAAAATTGGTGCTCGTGTATATTTGAGAGAAAGAGATGCATTAATATTCAGTCTCGTCTCTGAATAACCTGCAACCTACATTTATACTCAAGACTCGAGTGACCACAGAGAGAAGATAAAAAACAAAATATCGAATCAGAGAAGATCGGGAAATATTCCTAATAAAATCATGAAAAGTATTTTTATTCTCTCCATACGCCAATTTTTATTTTCTTTCTACTTCTTCTTTTGCTTATACTGAATTTATTTTTTTATTTTCTTTTTGCTTACAACCTTCCTTGGTCATTCCCACACACTTTGTCAGCTCACGTTGTCTGTGGAAGAGGTTTTCTCAAACGGAGGAGACTCTTTTGAGAATGGATGAAGCTAGACGCGTAATTTTGTAATACATTCAAAACCAAAACAGAAAAGAATAACACCCACACCCACGCACCCACACACCCACATATTTTTTCTTAGCTCTGTCCAATATATATATATATATATATATATATATATATATATATATATATATATATATATATTTCTTAGTTCTGTCTAATCACTTTTAGCACTATTATGTCTACACCTCTTGGCTAAATTTGCTAATTATTTATTTGCTTACTAGCGTATGCACACCAGCACACGGTCGCTCGCTTATATCTAGTTATCTCATTTACGTAAACCTATATATATATATATATATATATATATGTGTGTGTGTGTGTGTGTGTGTGTGTGTGTGTGTGTGTGTGCCTGAAAACTATACCATGGTTCGACCTATGGCTTCTGAATGAAATTCGGTAGACGAAGTCACAAGTCATTGTAACTGAGGGTTTAAGAGAGATGACATTGTTCAGACTGTTCATCATGCTAAATAATGAGCACTCTGCCAGAAAGATCAACGAAGGTCCGCTCAGCATAGTTGTAGTATAAACTACTGCTGGGATCTGTGGGTGCTGAACAAATACAGATCTGCCTAAGCAGGCGTCTGCAATAGGGATTAAGTAGCCGTCCATGTAGATGGCATCCTCAGTTACGAGTCGTTATACCATTAGATTGAGATTTAGTTATGTCTGTAAAATTTACACGTATAAACCCGACCAGTATGAATTCGTATCTTCTGAACTGCGATAGACAATGCCATGGAATGATTCAAAATAGAAGTAATAAAAGAAATTTCCTAAATAGCACATACCTACATACTTCTTTCTGAGTGGAACTGAAAAACATAAAACAAACATTAGTTAACAATAATATTTTGAAGTACATCATCGATAAACGAACAAAATTATTCTTACGAAAAAGACATGACAGCAGTACTAAAAATACAATATGAAAACATCAACATATTTTACTGTAACCAGATGCACAATAATTACAAGCAGGACGCACCATTAAACACTATATTTCAGCCGTAAATCAATGTAGAGAGGTAAAACTTAAAATATATTACACAAATGTAAAAAAACAACCTCGTCGTCACTAATAAAAATAACCCTATTAAGTCTAAACTAGCGTTGACCAATATAGTTTATCAATTCAACTGGCCAGGACAAGACTGTGTCTCTTCTCATAAATCAGTAAGCTATATCGATCATACCACTATTGCCTCACGTGTCAGTTATCTGACCAATGTGCTATAAGAAAGCATGATTTGATAACAAGATCATCCTCTCTCTCTCTCTCTCTCTCTCTCTCTCTATATATATATATATATGTGTGTGTGTAAGCAAATATATGGATATAGATCCGACAGTATGAAGAAAAATATACGGAAAAAAACGAACAAAAATCCTTATATACAATTATGCTGTTTTAATGTTAATATGTCAACGTCGGACGTTTCGGTCTAATAAACCATCTTCAGGACATATTCATAATTAGTTTATTAGACCGAAACGTCCGGCGTTGACATATTAACATTAAAACAGCATAATTGTATATAAGGAAGGATTTTGTTTTTCCGTGTTTTTTTCATATATATATATATATATATATATATATATATATATATCCTGTTTCATACTTTTTCTCATTTTATATTTTTTTTTATGAAATAATTTTTAATGATTTTTCCCTTGTTGCCTTACAGCGATAAAGGATTATATAATTGCCTGGCTCACGCTTATTTCATTTCCGTTCAAGTCGTCTGAGGTTCGCGTTGCGTGAAGATCGAGTCACAACTAGAGCCGTCCTTTTATAGATTTTAATGTTCGTAAACATTTTTTGCTCGGTCTAGGCAAACTATTCTTCAAGCAGGTTACTTTCCTTAGTATGTAATTTTGATTTCTGGCCCTTTTCACTTTTTTTTCAATATTGTCGTCTTTATTCGAGACTGGATAAAAGTTCAGTTTTGGTAATCTCTCCATTGGTTCTACCAAATGATTTTTTTTTCTTTCTTTTTCTTTAATTGTATGGATCTAATGTTTTTTTTGTCACATTTGTTCTAGTGCTTTGCTATGCAATTAGATATTCATGATAAAATACAAAGAAAAATCTGCATTGTTATCTGCAACTCTCTCGTTCCTTTATTTTCAAATTTCATGGTCAACTTATAAGACAGAAAATTCATTAAATAAATAAAGCTGCAATTTATGACAGATATCTTCATGATATCTTCACCAATCCCACAAAAATAAAATAAAATTGAAAGAAAATCCGTTTTAAAGTACAATTGTAAACTAAATGTCGATAAAATGCCCAGTTCTGTATATTCTCCTTGACTGTAACAGCGATAATTTTATACTAACTCTGTACACAGTGTCTTCTCTGGATGCCCTGAAAAATATAAAACTGCCACACACACAAATATATATATATATATATATATATATATATATATATATATATATATATATATATATATATTGTTGTGACCTGTTTAGGAAAAGAAAGACACGGAAGACGAAGGTAGGTTGAATAAGTGTATTGAAATAACAGATATATACAAAGCAGGAGTGTTAGTAATAAGAGGTGTACATTCGAACTGTAGGTTAATATTGTGTCGGCGATATTTAACAGTCCCACCACGAGGAATGTATGTGGCACAAGGCCGAGTTTAAAATATTCCTTTAGAACCAGCATAAACGGGTTCGGGATCTGTCTACCTCACCGGACGAAACTTTGCCCTTCGGCAAAGCTTCGTCCGGGTTCCTCTCTGCCAAAGCAGAGAGTTCGACAGAAGTCGCACACAGTCAGAGACTGCGTCTCGGCTCCCCAACTGACTCTCGCGGTTAGTATTTATAAGGGGAGGAAGAGTTTATTCTACTGTAGGAGGGTTTACAAAAACACAGACACACACAGAGAAAGAACAGGAAACAATGAAGGCAGAAAAGGAAACAGAAAGGAATGAAAAAAAAGTAGAAAAGAAAGAAAAGGAAACAGAAAAGAAAGTAAAAGTAGAAAAGAAAGAAAAGGAAACAGAAAAGAAAGAAACGGAAACAGAAAAGAAAGTAAAAGAAATAGATAAGAAAGAAAAGGAAACAGAAAGGAAAGAAAAAAGTAGAAAAGAAAGAAAAGGAAGCAGAAAAGAAAGAAAAAAAAACAGAAAATTTAAGGAAAAGAAATGAAAGAAAAGGAAACAGAAAGGAAAGAAAAAGAAGCAGAAAAGAAAGAAAAAGAAACAGAAAAGAAAGGAAAGCAAATGAAACAGAAAGGAAAGAAAAAGAAGTAGAAAAGTAAGAAACGAAACAGGAAAGAAAGAAAAAGAATTGGAAAAGAAAGAAAAGGAAACAGAAAAAGAGAAAAGAAAGGAAAGGAAACAGAAAAAAAGAAAGAAAAGGAAAGAGAAATGAATGAAAAAGAAGAAGAAAGAAAGAAAGAAAGAAAGAGAAACAGAAAAAAGAAATAGAAAAGAAAGAAAAGGTAAGAGGGCAGAAGGAAAAAGGAAACGAGAAAAGAAAGAAAAGGAAACAGAAAAGAAAGGAAAAGAAATGAAAGCAAATGAATCAGAAAGGAAAGAAAAAGAAGTAGAAAAGAAAGAAACGGAAACAGAAAAATAGAAAAGAAAGAAAAGGAAACAGAAAAAAGAAATAGAAAAAAAAGAAAAGGAAAGAGGACAGAAAGAAAAAGGAAACGAGAAAAGAAAGAAAACTAAATAGAAAAGAATGAAAGGGAAAACAGAACTGAAAGAAAAGGAAACTAGAAAAGAAAGAAAAAATGTTGAAATACATAAAAAGAACAACTAAGCATTTCAAGAGACAAATAAAAAATTAAAAAAAAAGATGTTAAAAAATGGAAGAATAAAGGAAAGAAAGAAAAACTAATAACGATGATAAAAATCTAAAAGAAAATAAAGAAATCAGATATAAATACATATTAGTATTTTTATGTGTCCGTTCAGTTCTCAGTGCTGGCACACGTGACACGTCATCATTTTCTAAAAACTAAACTGCCTCTTCCCTTTCGAAAACTTCAAACAAACGATTTTTGAGATGAGAGGCTTTTCAGATACAAAATGATTAAACACGTAAAGTTACAATGGACATCCAACTGTTTTCTCATCTTTTCCAGCTCCCTCAACCAGAACCTGACGTTAATATTCATTTCTTTTGAAACGGTTCTGAAAAATACAATTCTTTATTAGAGATTCAAAACTACAGAGAACCAAATTTGAAGAAGGATATAGAACATAGGCATGATTCGAAACCTCCCTAATTTGGCAAAGAATAACTGTTTTTCATATCTAGATAAAGAAATGTTATGAATTAAAAAGTAAAATGAAATATATACAAATTAATACTAAATTAAATTTAAAAATAAAAATTACCACTACGTAAGTGAATACCATAATATCTTATTACATTTGTTTCTCCGCCCGCACAAAATCCTGATTTTTTTTCACTGGTAAATTCTACACCAGCCAATGTTTATAATATGGACTTAATAAAGAGTTTAAAGTATAGCACTACGAGAAAAGGCCCAAGAAATATTATCATTAAAGATTAACGGATTAGCAGATTAGTTTATTATAATTCACTGAGATTAGACCCCAATTTACAAGATTAGTGGTTTTTCTAAGCTTATTATTTTTATACTGGATCTTTTCAAGTGATAACTGATCAGCACATATTCCGTTTTTATATTATCTTTAAATTGGCATCAATTCTTGAGATATATATTGTAAATTAATATTAGCCGCTTTATATTTCAGTAAAAAGTTAAATAAAAAATCCGAGGTCTAGTTGATTTTATAGGTAAGGTTAAGTCGGGTTTTACACCCGAGAAAACGTTAAATAACATTAAATCAGGTTATACATGATTTTACAGGTAACGATTGGCCTGGTTTATACATGATTTATAAGTTAAATATGATTCTACTGTCTGTATTGTGAAGTTTTGTCATGTTTATACTTGTGTCAAAAATCAAACGTAGATTATTAAATGAATATAAAATCCTAGTTGTTCTTGAGTATAAGATTAGTCGAGTTTATACTTGAGTCTATAGATAAAGATTGGTCGATTTTATACTTGGGTCTATAGATAAAGCCTGGTCGAGTTTATACTTGAGTCTATAGATAAAGATTGTTCGAGTTTATACTTGAGCCAATAGATAAAGACTGGTTGAGTTTATACTTGAGTCTATAGATAAAGATTGGTCAAATTTATACTTGAGTCTATAGATAAAGATTGGACGGGTTTATACTCGAGTCAAATGTCAAATATAAAGTAAATACAATAAGAAATGTATATATTCCTAGTTGTTCATCTGTTTATATATAAGGATTAATGGATTTATACTTGCGTATATATGGTTTGATTGGGTTTATACTTGAGTCTGCGTGTAAAGATTGTCCAAGTTTATACTTGGGACTATAGGTAAAGATTCGCTGGGGTCGGGTTTTCACTTAAATCAACAAGTAATCATTGGTTAGTTGTATTGGATTATAGTCAAATATTGATTTGATTTATATTTGAGTCTAAAGTCACTAATCGAAAGGTGGTCTTCTGGAAGATTTTTTCCCCACTAAAGAGGGTACAATATTTGTATTATACACCTCGCGCGTAAGATGCGATCCTTATTTTTTAAAATGCTAACATTATATTTGAGTAATGTATGAAGAAATGTCGGTTCTGCTTGCAGGCTGTTTTTGAGGCTGATTTTGATGTCGCATTTTCCGTACTCAGTTAAAAAACTTCCCAGATATTTAAATGTTTGTACTTGTTTGATTTTGGCATCTCCAATTTGTAATTTGTATGTTGGGCTGTTAATTTTGCTAAAAACCATGCAGTCAGTCTTCCTACAATTGATGTTTAGTCATTTCTTTATTCTTACTTTCACTTCATTCGGTAGGAGTTCTTATAGCTGCTTTTTGCGGCTGCTATCATTATTATCTGTGATTATTTAATTTATTTCCTCTTTCCTCATTGTGTCATAGAAAATTCAAATCTCTCTTTCTGATGAATTTTCTTTAATAATATGTCTCGAATATTCTGGTAGGCGAAAAGAAAGAAATATACTGTATAATAAATAAACGGAGGACAGAATGAAGAAACAGGTCAGAATGGAAAAGGAAACAAGAAAAAAAAAGAAAGAGAAAAGAAAGAAAAGAAACAGAAAAGAAAGAAAAAGGAAAAAAAAAACGAGAAAAGAAAGAAAAAGAAAAAAAAACGAGAAAAGGAAAAAAAGAAACAGAACAGAAAAAAAGGAAACAAAAAGAAAGAAAAGGAAATAGAAAAGAAAGATAAGGAAATAGAACAGAAACAAAAAGGAAACGAGAAAAGAAAGAAAGTGTCATCTGGATATATTATGTTCTTAATACAGTAGCCGCCATTAATGAATCCTTTAGCACTGCTAATTCTTTCAAAATCGCCACAATGTATAGGTTTTCTCGTTATGCATCCCAGTAATCGAACTCGTTCAGATTGTAAGTATAATGTCCTACTTCCTAAACAGACAAAATTATTGTGAAAAATGTTCGAATATAAAAAGATGAGCAAACATAAACGATTTTTTTTTAAGCATTCTATCCCAAAGCAAGGCGGGAAGACACTAGCATGCAAGGGGTTACAGAGAGTTGGAGCGAGAGCAAAGAGGAGTGATAGAGGAAAGGATGAAGAGAAGGTTAGGGGATAGACAGGGCATCTGGAGACGTCGATTGACATTACATTTGAATATTTGTTGATTATAGCTATCAGGGAAACAAGAAATGGGGAGGAAGTTGCACAGGCGAGAAGTGCGAGACATGGAGCTATTGGAGTAGAAGAGACGGCTACATTTAACAGATTCGACAGTGAAAGGGTGAGAGCGAGATGCCAGCCTCGTAGGGCACTTGAATTCATGAAGTCTGGGAACCAGCGAATGCAGCTCCTCGGAGCAGTTACTGTGAAAGTATTTCTAAAAAAGACAGAGGGAGGCAACGGCATATCTGTGAGAGAGCGACTGCAGACGAGATGCCAGATCAGGGCCAATTAAATTGCATATCCGTGGTCTTCTTGTCATATTGATATTTGCGATTACAGCTTTCCAGAATCGCTTTCAGAGCTAAGCAACTTTTATCTCCTCACAATCTCTCCTCTCATCTCTGCCATCCATTCCCACAAATTTGGGATTAATATATTAAATTTGATTCAAATATCAAATATTAATCGCATTTTACTGCTGCCTTCTTGGCTTATGTATGACATACGTGAATCATATTCTCCCAGCCTTATTATGTCGCATAAATTTCAACTGCCTCTTCATTTTTAGTACGAATGTGCTTAAACCTTCCTTGTTACCTATATATTCAACCGATGTTATCTGCCGTACTCGTCGATGGAACCGCATCTCTATAACCTTCAGCCTTTTCTTCAACTGCAAAGAGATGAGTCTTCATTCAAATAACACCCAATCCATATTCCTGATTAAAATACATTTTTGTAAGTAAACGTTTGCCGATGAATTTTATTGAAATAGACCGATCAGGTCAATTTAATATATTTTTAATTATATTTTCTAGTTTTTTCAATATCTGAAATCAGAATGAACAGTCACAGCCGGGTTTAGAACTCGACTCGCTGATTCCGTTTACTGTACTGTTAACTGTTGCTCCATTTGCACAACACTATAATAAAATAATGTGCTTTTATTTTTTACCAGCAATATTAACTAGCACAAGAAATTTTTGTTTTCCTGTCCTTTCCAAAGTTTCCATTCTTGTTCCTACACTCTTTTGGCTTTATATTAACGATCAGCCTAAGAACTTATTCAGATCTATAGCAAATATCTATGCAAATGATGCAAAAGTTTATAAGTGCATTTCCAAAATTCTAGATGTCTTTTTGCAGTCTTGAATAAATCTCCAGACAAACATTTTGAACAGCTTACCTGAGCGGAAATAATTGCGAACAGAAGTCGAAAGGGACAAGACAGATGACAGACTTTCTGAATGTTCGCCGAAGTAAGTTCTTGTAAACAAATTAACCCTGACTCAACCGGCTTTACCATGAATAATGAACACTCCTTGAACTGACGGGTCGATGTATTGATGACACCGCTTCACGCATAAAGATTTAAATAACGGCTAATTTGTCCTGAGAAATCATATTAAGGTCGAACAGAACGGTAATCGCATTATATTTGTGTATTCATACGACACGGAGGCACTCCTAAATCACGGAAATAATTGAATTTTCCAAGGGAATAACTATATTATCGCAAGAGAGAACTGTCAAAAATGTTTTCCCCTTGAAAAATTTAATAATAATGAAAGAAAACTCTCACATTCTCTGATCGTATTAAGGACGATATTTGAATGCTGTTGTTTTTTTTCCGAGATTCTGTTTTTGACAAGTTAGGCGATAGAAAGTCTCTTGAAAATTAAAATGATTATTGGTTCAACAAATTTAATACGATATCGAATATAATTTGGTATGGATGGAACTCCGATTTCAAACGGAAAAAGGATTTCTATGTCTGGATAAAGGATGAGAAGTGGGCGTCAAGTCTGTCCATAAAAATCGATCTACTATTGAAAGAGCGGAATATTCTCTTCGCATCACTGACTATTTAAGAAACAAATGACGCTATAAAACGAACATAAACACATACACACAAACACATACACACAAACACACACAAACACATACGAACACACACACACACACGTGCGTGTGTGTGTGTGTATTTGTTTGTTTGTTTGTTTATCCAAGGCTGGATGTGACACAAGGCAGTTTTAACGTATAGGCCAAGGACAAAAATAGGTTTTGGCCCAGCCCCTAGGAACACTGTCACAGTGGCATCAATATTACACCGTTAACCACGACCCAGTAAAACCCTCATTTCCTAGCCAGATAATATATATATATATATATATATATATATATATATATATATATATATATATATATATATATATATACTTATCCATAGGGACCCTGTTTCGCTGTATCACAGCTCATAAGTGTGGCTAGATATCCCATTGCTTCAAGCCGGGATCGAAACTCTGACCGATTGATATACATCAGGGATCCTGATCCTTAGGCTTATAATGATATATATATATATATATATATATATATATATATATATATATATATATATATATATATATATATATATATATATATATATATATATATATAATTTATCAGATAATTTATGTTAAATTGAGCATCTATCTACTCTTAAAAGAATCCTTTACATGAATGTTCAGTATACGTGTCAGGATATATATATATATATATATATATATATATATATATATATATATATATATATATATATATATATATGTGTGTGTGTGTGTGTGTGTGTGTGTGTGTAATTTATCAGATAATTTTGTTAAATTGAGCATCTATCTACTCTTAGAAGGATACTTTCCAGATTGTTCAGTATACTTGTAGGGAGGATATATATATATATATATATATATATATATATATATATATATATATATATATATATATATATATATATTCTTATTACTATAAACATTATTCTTAGTGGGTACAAGTAATTGCCATCCTGTTTTTTTTCTTTTCTTTTTTTAATTTAATAACAACTGACCGAGATTGAAGAGGTCCTGGATTGTTTTTATTAATTTCCCTGTTTAAGAAAAATAAACCGGGTGAACAACTCAAATACTTGTATACAATAAAAATATTGTTTATAGTAATAAGAAATATTGGCGGGAAAAAATGTATGTGTGTGTGTGTGCACGCGCGCCCGTGAGTCGATCTAATCTTTGAGCAAATCGAGATGGGTCAAAATAGGGGAACATTTTATTTTATTTATTACCATTTGCTCACCTTTTGGCATCGAAAGCGATAATTGCAAAGATTGATTTTCTTAAAGGCGTTATCTTCCAGAAATCAGATTATTTGGCGAAACATAGTCTTTATTAATCTGATATATATATATATATATATATATATATATATATATATATAGTTTTCCCCACCCCAGCAATTCAATGAAAAAAAGAGCATACAATTATGAGAAAAGGCTCAAATCTTGAAAAAAAGACTAAGTTTTGTCAAAATGTTTATCTTATTTTTAAGAGGAAAGACCAATGCATCTTTTATTAAATCATTACATGTTTTAATGATTTTTAGCAAGTTTGAAAATTTGTTAAAAATATTTTTTTTCTTGCATCAGCGGCGGGGCCAGATTAGTATAGGGATGTTTAGCCTTTTTTTGTTAAAATGCATTTTTTTCTAAATTCTTCCAAAATCCAATAATTTTAATGAAATTTTCAAGATTAAAAAAAAAAAATTTTGAGAAATTTTGGTTGTCTCACAACACCAAGGAGGTTCCATCAGGGACCATGACACGTGAAGCAGTTTTTAGTCCAACGCAATATTCCTCCAGGTACAAGAACAACAATATTCCACAGAAAACACCCCTTCCGATTTTTTCCTCTTCAAAAATAACAACTCATTTCGAATTCTAAGCGTTGGTGCAATCCAAGAGAATACGTCGGAGCTGCTGCTTGTTCTCTGAAAAAAGGTGTTACAGGAATGTTTCCCTCAATGGTTAAAATGTGTGGCTTCAGTGGGGAACTATTTTGAAGGAGATTAACTGTTGATTTTCTTTGTAGTTTTATTTTAGAGCATAAGTCCCCATACTTTTCGATAAATCCTATATATGTATATGTGTGTGTATTTTCTTTTTATTTATATATTTCCGAGATGTATACACAAATTTGTATCATTACAAAATAACTCCAAATAGATCTAATGAGAACAGAAAAAATTCCAAATATAATATACGCTTATATATATATATATATATATATATATATATATATATATATATATATATATATATATATATATATATATATATATATATATATATATATATATATCAAATGATTAATAAATATTATTATTATTTATGTTATAATTTTAATATATATATATATATATATATATATATATATATATAGAGAGAGAGAGAGAGAGAGATTTTTTATTAAAAAATGAAGTCATTTTTTAATAGGACACCCTTTCTAATAGCTCTGGTAAAAAAAAGCCAAAAAAACAAAACAAACAAACATACAATGATAACAACAAAATATTGCAATATGAGCACTGGTAAAAATGGATGCTGAGACATTAGGTTTATAATACCAAGAACTTCATCCACAGATGTTCTCAAGGACACATGGCGCAGTGGATAAAGTGACAGGACCCAAAGTGTGTGAGTTCAATACCCTGTTGAGGCAGTGGGAAATTAACAGTAGATAACTGATAACTGACATTCATTAGACATGGCACGTGGAACTAGAACAGTCTACGCCAGTGAGCAAAATAAAGGATTCCGTTTGACATTCCAAGCGCCTGAGGAAAAACCCAGAGCGTACAACGGACGAAACGTTGTAATAAATATGGCGACAAAGATGATGACAATAGTCCGAATAATGTGAGGAATGTAAATAAAGGGAATGCATCTTTGATTCATGTAAGAAACTCATTTGTTGGTGTAAGTTTTTGGTTATCTCGGCCGTCGGGCAGAATCTTCAGTGTTTGAATGTCGAGTCAATAACAATATAGTGATAAATTCTCACCATTTTATATTTTTAATTTCGTATAAGCAGGCTGTTTGTTTTTGGTTTTGTCGACTGCACAGTATATTACGGTCAGTTATGGAAACGTCTGTGAGAGCAAAATGACGCAATTCACTCTACCAGAAATATAGAAACAGTTTATTTTGGTATCAGTCTGAGGACAATGCAGAAGATTCAGAAAGAGCTGGAAATTACGAAGGTATCTGGAGTGATCACTAGTGATGACGAATTTATACTTCCATTCATCTTCCTGCAGAGGTTTACATCAAATGCCTTGATGAGGTGGCTACTGGAAGACTGCATGTCTGGCAACAGGACTCTGTAACATGCCGTACAATCAGGAGAACTCAGTCATGGCTGTTAGACAATTTCTGCGATCACATCACCCCTTACATCTAGCCAACTAAATCTCATGTCTGCACCCCTTGATTATTAAGTGTGGGTCGCAGTTGAGCGAGTTCAGCGAGTAACCAAGAAAAAGACCCTGTAACATCAAAGATGAACTGAAGGCAAGGATTATGGCAACATTCACCAGAAGAGTTGCAGGATATCCTGAAATCGTTTAGAGGCCATGTTTGAAGCTAATGGCGATTTTATGGAATAAATTGAGCCTTTAGTATTTCAAGATATGTTTGTGCAATTTCGTAAATATATCTGTTAAAATGAGGTGTCATTATTATTTTCATTTTTGCGTAATTTAAACGATAATTTATTCATCGCACCCTGTGTGTGTATGTATGTATATATATAAAGAAAAATCTGATAAACTGGAAATTTTTTTTTTTCTTGTTTTTTTTTTTTGTGACGTGTTTCATCGGACTGGGCTTTGTTGACGTTGCCACGTCTGCACATGCGCACGAAATGAGAGTCGCAGGTACTTTCAAAATTTTTGAAAGAATATTTTTTTTTCCAATTATACCAAAATCAGTATCCTTTTTTTTATTTTTCCTCTCCATCACCTTTGTCCTTGACTATCCCACACTGTGACAATATAAAATATACCAAGAATGGTAATATATTGTAAGAGCCTTGACGCAAATTTATCGTCGCTGAGACATAAATTTATTAATTTATCGTCGCTTGCCAGACATTTTTCTCTCTCTGGATTTTTTTCTCTTTTAATCAAAGTAGCATTCCCCAATGTTAAAACTGTGGTCCGCTTTGTTACGGTGAACAACCAATTTTTTGTGTATTGTTATTTAACCTGAAGGGAGTTTCACAAGCGAGAAGTGCGATAATAGAAATTGTTATCATGTAAAATAATGAGACGATGCTGCCAATCTAGTACTGCATTTAAATTCATAAATATCTAGGTACCATAGAGAAAAGTTCATCAAAACAATTAGCAAGAATTTATTTGAAAACAAGACAGAGATAACATACCCTACGGTGGTGGAAAAGCTACTGTGTCCGAGATACCATGTCAGTACCAATG